TTTGAAAGACGCTATAGAATTTAGGATATGACAAGTGACGAAACATGGCAACATATAAAATCGTAAATTTATTTTGTGTCTGAAATTCATGACTTTCATGATTCTTGTTTGCAGTCCTGTCTGTACTCTACCTAGGTTTGAGTTAGGCACTGTTGACTTTCTAAGGTGAAGATTCATAAGAGTTAGTTTTATTTAGAGCAGGCACACCCTGCACAAGTAATAGTTAGAATGAGCCAAAGTACCTTGATGAAAGAGAATGAACTCAAACCATTTTTATCTTAAATGAATTATTATTATTCATTTGATATGTGCGCATGTGTTTCTTTGCATGTATATCTATAAGCTTGGCTCAAGAAGGCCCAGAAAAGTTATCATATCTCATGAAACTGGAGTTACAGACAAATGTTAGACGCTATGTCAGTGCTGAGGATCAGGTCATGGTACTCTGGAATAGCTACAAGTGTTCTTAACTATTGACATCATTTCAGATGGTCATTTACTACTCCAGCACAAGCCGTAGATACTTTTCCAAAGTCTCCAAACAAAGTTATAAAGCAGCATCCCAAAGATGAGTGTCCTCTATTTACAAGCATGCAAGGTTTCCAGAATGGAACGAATCTCTCATTGGGGTGGCTATGGACTTTGTTGTCAATGTCAACAAGATATTGAAGAGTGAAACAGACACTGAGGTGGTTACATCAGCCTGGGTTTGTTGTTCTCATTTACCTCCTGCTCAACAGCCTTATCCTTTTACTATAGAAAGTTAGAGGAGGGCAATAGGAAGTGCATTTCTCATCCTTAATAATGAAGAAAATTCAACTTATTCAAAGTTCTTTAACATACTTTGTGTTACTTACTGTGGCAATATTTTGGCAAAGTCTATGTGATGGATAGCAGTGAAATTTACAAAACTCTAGCCTGCATGTAGTTACAAAGTTTCAGTAAATTCTACAGAAAAGTTGTAGTAGTAGTAGTAGCTTTTCATGACCAATATATGTGTTTCAGATTCATATTCAGAGCTCAGTCATCTTCTCCACAATCTAAATCTACACTTGTGATAGTAGCCTCCATCTATCCCTCAATGGTGGGGAAAATTGATACCATTTGCAATTTACAAGGATTATGACAGGAGATTGACAATCCATCTAGTGAAATGCCTACTTGGACCATAGCTATGGGCACATGAGGCATTAATTTTTTTGAGCTATTTGTAGTTACAGTGCCATGATACTTGTTTGATGAACTGGGTTTAATTCACAAAAGGGCACTATTTGAGTATACTGGGCACATTTGCACCAGATGCCTCTGATATTTTTGACCATAAAATATGCATACAATTGGATAACATCAGGGTTTGTCTTAGGACTGAGATCAAGCCTCACTAACCAAGAAATATGCTTCTAGTCTAACTAAGTGTCATATAGTCATGTATCAACCACACTGGGCTGCTTTTGCACACTGTAGGCATCTCCTTGCCATTTTTAAAAACAGGCTGCAATAGTTCAATATGTTTCATTCTTTCCTTTCTACTTCAGGATGATCCTAATACAAAAAATTGCTTTATACCCATTTTAAATTACATTTAAAGTCTAGCACAGTGTCTGTGTTTTTCATTAACAACAGATAGTTAAGTGTTTCTGTTAACATCAGTAGACTTTGTAGCTAGGAAGCATTGTCAGTTATGACACTTAACTCATGAATATACTCAATAGGTATACTGAGAGAGTTACTTATATCATTTCTGTACCTTATTTAATCCTTTATAAAATGCACAGTGTAATATATGAATATACTCAATAGGTATACTGAGAGAGTTACTTATATCATTTCTGTACCTTATTTTATCCTTTATAAAATGCACAGTGTAATATATATGGTATCCTATGATGTAGTAACATATGAAGATGAATTTTACTGTGATTCTGTTAAGATACATTTCTATGCATTCTGTAAGGACTCATAAATTCCAATATTTTTAATTAATAAATAAATATTTTTAAATATGAAATTATATTCACAAATTATATTGTCAAGCCTACAATTTAATTTGAGCATATACATTTCCAACTACTCTACTGGACAGGTCAAAGAACCATCTTCTCATAACCCTATAGCTTCTTGAAATAGAGCCCTCTTCTTACTGTGTCTCACTGACTCGATTTTGCACTGCTCATGCACTCAGGAAAGAGGAGTGCTCCTATGGAGCAAAAGGTACAGTAATTCTTCTTCTAGGGATGTACTCAAAAGAGCCTGAAATTCACCCCGAAGAGTGAATTTGTAACTTTGTGTCCCTAGTAACATTATGGACAATGGAAAAAATGTGTAATGATGGATATTATCTGTATAAAACTACAAACATACTGTAGTATACTGACAAATGATAAAAAATTAAAAAACATTAGAGAAATTATGCTAAGTGACAATACCAAGAGACAAAATGAAAAACTGCATGTTTTAAGAATCCATGAACCAGGCAGTGGTGGCACACTCCTTTTATCCCAACATCCATGAGGCAGAGGCAGACAGATCTCTGTACAAGGCCAGCCTGGTCTACAAAGCAATTTCCAGGACAGCAGGCAACAAAGATACACAGAGAAACCCTGTCTCAAAAAATTAATCAAATATGACATCCTTAAAACAATCAAAATCACAAAACAAAAAACTGAATGGTGCTGAACAGTGCTGCTATATGAAAGTTGAAGACTCACCTAGTGTTAGAAAAAATTTTGAGTTCTGTCATATAGAACTGCTTATGAAATTGTATGATAGTGCTTCTTGAAAAACATGAATATTTCTGATGTTTCTAAACCACATTCAAAGATTTTTTAACATAGTAGTGTCTATATCCACTTGACTAGAGCAAAATATATGAAAAACCAACAGTATTTGACAAGTGAATGACAGATAACAGTCATTCCATGGGATTAAGAAAGAGCATATGGCCTCCAACATTGATTTCATTAAATAAGGCTGCTTAGGAAGGATCTCCTTCAGCCTCAGTAATGGGAAGGCACCTCATGAAAAGTCCTTGAATAGCCTCCAAATCTGCCAAACCAATAGGTACTCAAAATGTTTTGGGTCCCCTGAAGGCCTGTATAAATGTCCTAGAAAACATTACTGGAAAAACAAGAGAGCAGTGTGTATCAACGGGAATCCTACAGTCACTATGGCTGCTTGTGGAGTATGGTCAACATGGCATAGACACTTCTTCCTGCATTCTAAATTTTATGAAACACTAAATATTGCCTTCTCCCACAGCTTCCACATTCCTACAGAACCATGTTTGCAGATAGAAGATAGAAAGCAAATTAGATCCCACCAATACTCTCACAGTCTCTTTCACCACTACCACCCATGAGCAGATGACATCTCACATCAACAAAAAATTTGCTCCAAATCACCCACAAAACACAAGATTTGAACATGAATTTTATTTTTAAAAGCTAGGCAGGAAATAGGAGGCTTTAAAAGAAGCATAGAAGTATGTTCAGAGCTTGGACAAAGGTAAAAGCTGAAGACCTTGTCTGGTTGCATCACAGATGGTGATATGCATCACATACAGTTGTACTGGTGTGTGATTCAATTCAGGCAGGACCAGAATCTACTTCTGTTATTTTCTAAGGGAGGCTGACAGAGAACCCACTGCCCCAGAGCTGCTGATCTTGTATTTATTCTCATGGTTTGAGGACCAATTACAGGCTAAAGCTCCTCACGATAAGATGCCTTACAACCTGAAACATAAAGCACAAAGACAAAGTTGTGATCCTGGATAGAAGACAGACTATTCCTGCAAATAATTAGAAGTATTAACTAGACAGCATGAACTGGAGATGCAATTAACTTCATAGTCTCTCAAGTTAGATCAGAAGATAAATCTAGACTTGGCTCTTAGGGAAAGTTACCACATAAATCTAGTTTTTAAATTACATTTCTAGGTCATCATTACTTACATCATTAATTGCCATGCTGAACTGGCAATTAAATTTACTTCTTTTACATTAACAATATTTCAAGAATACCCAGCAAGTAACTGAGTTTGATTTAAAAAAATATCTCAATATATACTGTTCATCAGAGAGAAAATGGATACAGGAATGCATTGGAGCACTGTTGAAGTCTTGCTGATAAAGTTCTCCAAAGGGGCAGGCATACCCTCTAATGAAGATACTTAAAGAGTGGAAGATTTGAAAACTGAATGTGACTAAATTTTCTGTGGACTCTTATGCCTTGAAGACTGATTAGACCTGGAACAGCACACCCCACACCCAAGGAAGGCCTGTTTTTTTATGTGTGTAATATTGATTATTAGAATGAAGGTGTTTGGAAAGGTCAGACACTGTCTCTCATCAAGAAAAGTCCAACAGATAAAAAGCAAACATTCTGGGAACTAGTTGTGCTATTGTCAAGACTACCTTTGGTTTGTGAAGGGCTTTACACCAATGGAATGCTGCTGCCACTTACTAGGAATCTGGATATTGAGAGCTTTCTTTAAGGTACGGGTCAGAGGGAACTTTCCCTGTTTACATACAGAATCAGTGACATCATCCATGTCCAGGGGCCAGATAGTGGCACCACCTAAGTTGTTGTTCTTGAGCCACTGAGCCTGTTCAAACAGAGCATATGAGTTACTTGGTTTCTGTGAGTCAGAAATGAGATCTCTGCACAAAAAATGAACTGAACTTACCTTCATCTGGAAGCTCTGGACATTATCATAACCAACCCATTCTGTGTCCTTAAAAGCATAGGGTACTTCCTGCAGGGCATTCCATATCTCAGTGGCTCCATTTTTCAGGAAGTTGCAAATCTTTAAACATTCAACAAATTCAAATATTTAAATATCAATACAAAGAAAGAAAAATAGCATGTACTTTGTTTTTATTCCTTTCTATTTTCTTGTGGGGTTTAACCTCATTTTCTTATAAGTTTTATTTGTCTCAAAGAAAATCAAGACAATGTTAACTTTTACTTCTGCTAGGCCTTATATACTTACAGATCTTTGCCCAGACTATGTAAATTATTTACAATGAAGGTGGTTCTCCATCTCATATTATGTATTTTCACATTCTGATAGAAACTCAATTTGTACCTAAGACAGCCTTCAAACTGTTAATTCTCCTGTTCCATATTTCTGCAAGTTGAAATTCTAAGTTTGAGCAATCAGGAATCACAGTGATAGTCACAGTGTATACTTATAGTATGTGATTCCATTTTTATATATACTACTAAAACTGAACCCAAGAGTAAGCTTATCAAACAAAGCTAGACCACAAAGGAATTGTAAAGGTACAGATATTTTTATATAAAGATATATTGGTAATATTTTTGCAGTGCAATTTCAATATCCACCAAATTTCTACATGGTATGATAGGTAATAATCTGTCATACATCTATAGATTTATTTTTAGACTTAGAGTGTTATTTAGGTTCTCAACATGTGACTTAAGACCCATTGGTCACATATCAGATATCTTGCATATCAGATATTTACATTATGATTCATAACAGTAACAAAATTGCAGTTATTAAATTGCAACAAAGTAAATTTTTGGTTGTGGGTTACCACAACATAAGGAACTACATTAAAAGAAAATAGCATTAGAAAGATTAAGTACCACTGATCTATCATATGAAGGAATCTTGTATATCCTAAATTACTCTCTATAAATTATTAATTAAGAAATATAATAAAAATAAAGAATGTGAAATGGTCATTCAGCTTAGGTCATGAAGGCACTGCACATAAGGAACATTCATTTTCAGCAGATTTTAGTGGCCAGATTAAAAAACTGGGCCTGCAGTTCACTGACCACTCTCCAACAATCTACTGACCTCATAGTAGCTCCATAGTCCTGCTTCATTTGTGTACTTCCCTGGTTGTCCAGCACTAATGGTATGGGCATGAATTCCATGCTCAGAGGGGTCACTCAGGGTGAAGGTTTGTCCGTATGTGGGGAATCCAACAAGGAGCTTGTTGGGATCAGCCCCATGGTCCTTCCAGTAGGTCATGATACAGTCCTGTGATAGCAGAAGGTTAGTTGTAGGGTCAAGCAGCTGGTGATCTGTGCTAACTTAGGTTAGTTTCCCAATCTGACAGCTCATATTGTGTGTCCTTAATAAAAAATCGATTAGATCTGTTTTTCTTTTTTTCAAGAAGTAAGAATATGTGAATTTTATTAATCAAATACATATATTAAAGAGAGAAAGGATATGACATAGACATATTCTCAGTAAATGTACAGAGATAAGAGTGAATTTTATTGTCTTCACATTAAGTGTGCATTTATTTGTTAAATGGAGAAAGAATTCTGGACAATAAGGTCTCATTGATTAGTTTGTGCTAGAGTAAGGAGGGTCTTGTAGCCAGCCAATTAAGTTTGGACTTGATATGACAACATTTACTGAAAAAATTAGAGCACTGTTGGATCCTGAAGCTTTCTGAGAATGAAATACATGGTGTGCAATTGCTATGTAATGTTTATTTAAAAATGGGTATTATAGTTGCTCTACAAAATGTCATGCAAACAAATGCATGACTTTTAAATTTTTTATTGTGTTTCTATCAGGATATACTTACAGGATACAGAGGATCCTATACAGGATATAGCTGATAGCATAAAGAAGCCTTTGTTTTTTAAATATATTGCTTACTTATTTTTTTCAGATTGACAAAAAAGCTTAAGAAGACTGCACAAGCTCAGCTAGTGTTGTTTTGTGCTTGAATCTCCCAAGATATTAGACACTTCTCATTCCATTTGAATGTCCAGGGTCTTACCACATTAAGGCAGCCACTCTCATGTGGACCTTTGAAGAGGGGACTATTTTCTCCTGTATAGCCATCATTGTAGCTATGGAGATCATATGTCATGACCTGAATGTAATCAAGGGACCTGGAAAAAAAGAGAGTCCTAAGAATCATTCTTTTGGGGGGTCAAATTTCTGAAATCCCTTCAGTGTACCACTCCCCACTCCATCAAAATTTTAACCTGCCTGCATCATCTACTCTCCTTTTCTAATTTCATTTTATCTATAATGAAAGTTCCTGGAAAATACTATATTGAAAGTTACAATCTTCTACTAAAGTAAAAATTAATCCAGGGGAAGTAAAGAAAGGCACAGAGGAATTGAAAGAGTTTTGGTTTATACGTATTTTTATGACAGAATAGAGATTTTGGGGAGGAGAGTGTGGAGAGTAGCTTAGAAAAAATAAAGATTATAGAAAGAATACAGGTGTCAACCTGCAAACTTATAAGCTAACTGAAAATAAAATACACAAAAAGGAGTTTGAGCAGAAACAAACAGAATAGATAGAAAATATGCTTCAAGGATCCCTAGTTTATTAAATGAATAAATCTGTGTCAGGAATGGGAGACCTCCCTACTTGTTTTTGACCATGCAGGCATCAGAGACACCTAAAGCAACTCATCATGATAAAATTTGTCTTTGATGCTCACTGGAACAGAATGCTAAGATCTGATTGTTGACTAGAACACACATTAATTTGAGACATAGAGGAATAAACCTGACAATGAAAATGAAGACTTTGTTGTTGGCAAGCCTACATCATGTCACAAAGTGTTATGCAATCTTGTGGGGAAGAAAATACAATAATTTTATTGAGTGCAAGACCCTGAATGTTAGAAAATTGCCCTGTGTGGCATGTTGTGCATTAAAGACATGATGATTATGGATATAATAACTTCTACTGATTGTGTAAGATGCCTGGTAATGGGATGGATCCCATGCCTGCTACTGTAAATTTGGACGTAAGTACAAACCCAGTGAACTCACCTAACCAAGAGGGAGTCAAAATTTTTGTATTGCTTCAGGGTCATGCTGTCAAACTCTATTTTAAACATTCAGGTTTATATCCATGGTGTTCTCAAAGTGTTTCAGAGAATGAAACACTTTTTTTAAAGCAGGTAGTGGTTAATGCAGACACTCATTATTGTTTAAAGTACAGTTCCAAGTAACCGTGAATCCTCAGCTGTGAAACGGATGTGTATCAGGACCCCTCAACTTGACAGCTCCGTGAATACAATAGATGAGCCAGTGCAAAGACATTATATGCTGGTGGTTACTAGGGAAGAAGACTGTGAAATGCTGACTTCTAGATGAGATTTGGCTGTGGCACATATTAACTCTCAGCGGCTGTGGTTACCTGCACAAGACCTATCAAAATCAAGTCAGCCAAAATTAAAACAGTGCCTCTTCCATGAAACAAACCTGGGGAAGAAACTGCTGATGATTAAAGGCTGCTGAGGGAAACAAATTCAAACTCCCTTGGGAATATTGCCACAATTATGCGTGTGTGAAACTATGGATAACTCCACAACCATGCACATAGGGGCAAAACTGATTGGATTAGGGTATTATTAAGAATATAAAAAAACTCAAAATAAAAAATATGGAACTCAGTGGGATAAAGTAAGGCATGAGGAGAATTTGGAGAGAGGCATTGGTGAATAAATTTATTCAAAATACATTATATAAACATATATAATATTTAAAGATTAAATGAAAACTTTATTTAAATTCAGTTCATCCTGAGTGCTGTTTTTCTTGCCAATGTAGGAAAAAAAAAACCTTTATATGGCCTTTAGTCGGAGTCCTAGAGCAGCATTAAGTAACAGAAATGAGTAAGTTCTGTGTAAACACATGCAAAATTGTTAATATGGATCTCCACTTACTGTGACAGTTCAGGGATGTTATAGCCAGACTTAATGATGGAGGTGATACCAGCACCTGTGGAAGTGAGTAACAGCCTGGTCTCGTGTTCATCTAAAGTTTCATTCTGAAACGCTTCATGCATTTCCTGTAAAAAATGTTTTGTGCTGTTATCTCAAGTGTATTTCAGTTCTTTTCACAAGAAATGTATATAGACTTAAATTTATTTCAATACACATTTTTGTATTTTATATTAATTTATTATCCATTATTACCTCAACAAATTCAGGAGATTAGATGCTATGATATCACTAAGTATATGGCTTCCTAAAATATGCATAGACATTTAAAAATATCAACATGTTCAACATCTAGTAACTTGTAGTGGTCAGTATTAAGGCTCCAAAGTTTGGTCAGAGCTGCTCTTGTATTTCTCTGGAAATGTCTTTCAGCAGTTCCCTGCATCCCTTTGCAGTGCTGTGGAGAGAGCTGCCATTGCTGACTGGATGAATTAGCTTATAGAATGCACATCCTGTCTAATGTTATGCTGAACTGATGAACTGGAAAGTTGGTAAGAACTGTGTAAAAAGTCAAATTCTTGCCTGTTGTAATCTGCCTAGATCCTATGTGACTCTATTCTCATCTCCAATACTCGAGTTATCTCTCATCACTGCTTTGGGGTGTTCTAGAATCTGTTTCTAAAGTACTTTTCCAGAATTTACATTGTGGAAAAAGGGTCAAATGATAAGGTCACTTTACTGGTGAAAGAAGCACAAGAAGAGAAGTGTTTTAGCTGTCTCCAAATATTAAGTGCATAAAATGAAGCATGACTGCTTTAATTTTGTCCTGCTGGAAGAAATCACCTAGAAACAATGGCTGGAAATTTTAAATTTTGCACAGAAATTTGTTTCATATAATTACTCATGTCATAGCTATCCAATAGAAGCTACCTGTCATTTAGTTGGTACAGAATATTGAAACTCTTCAGAGGATGGGGAAATATCTAATGGTAAGAGTGTTATTGTAAAGAATCTGTTGTTGAGTGTATCTGTGTATATCAGTGGTAGACCATTCTGTCAAAAATTAAATACACAAATAAAGTTCTTTTCTTTTTTTATACAAGTATTATAGAAATGACTACATTTTAAAAACCTTCTCCAATCTTTGGTTATTAGTTGTCTGGTTTTTGTTGGATGATCACCACCCTTCCTTTTCAGAACAGTACTGAAAGTCATGTTCTAGATCATGAATTCTATTATCAGCATTATTTCAGTGCATGTTTTCATCTCTATACTTCACATTCACTATGTTCATAGGTAAAAGAGTAAGTTCCTCTCACTAAATCAACTGTTATTGGATTTTACTCTCAACAAAGAAATGTATTCTGATATCATCCTCTATGTCTGAAGAGTTACACACACATTTGAGTTTCTTTTGTGCCCTATTGACTCCTCTTATGCCCATTACCACAATGCACTTCAGTTGTTTCCCAGGTTACAGTGTTATACCTCAGATGAGAACAATTTCAAGCAAAAGTTTCTGCTTTATTTTCATCTTTAGTCTGTACTCATTAACCATCATCAAGTATACCATATTCAGGCACAGTAGATATTCTGATGTAATTGTTATGAGGTTTGAACTTTGTAGGGAAACAAAACTCACAGACATGATACTGTTATCTGAGTGACTCTGACTAATTTACTAAAACCCTGTCTGTATATTAGTTATTTGTCTGTATCATAAAGATCATAATGACTCTGTAACTCACATCATAGACAACATATGAAGATACATTATCATTCTACTCCTGTGTGTGGTGTAGTGTCCCACCTGCTTGTTGAATCAATGAATGATATTTCAGGTCCTATGCAATGCTAAAAATCTATAATTATAAATTCTAGTTTGGTTTACTCTAAAAGAACCATTCTCCTTGGAAAGGAGAGACTTTGAATCTTGTAGGACTAAAGGCATCTCCTGATTTCCCCACCTTCACCAGGAGAGTAAAGAGATACATGTCCTTAGATGGGCTTCTACCAGACCCAGGGTACTGCCAGTCCAGGTTCAGCCCATCAAAATTGTGATTGCGCAGGAATGTCATGACTGACGTAATGAAAGTGTGACGGTTCTCAGAAGTAGACACCATGATACTGAACCTAAGGGAGACCAAAGGAAGATGAATGAAGATTTGTGTGAAATTTCCACATTGGAATGAGACAGTTCGACCCCTGGGCACCAGCCATTCCAGGGAAGACCTGCCCAACTTGGCCCCAGGTCCTGGCCATAGGGCAGGACCCCCCCCCACACACACACAACCCCACTGGGAAGGTTCCCCTTCTCCAAGTCCCCAGGCAGACCCTGCAATCTGGCCGCCCTGCCCAACATCCATCCTCCGGAGACCCCAGCCAGTTCCTGAGACTTAGAGACCAGCCCCCAACTCCCATCCCACCCAGGAACTCCCAACTGGACAAGAGGTGAGTGCCTGGGGTCATACCCAGAGAAGCCTGCCCCTAGGTTCCATCCCTGGGCACAAGCCACTTCAGGGAAGACCTGCCCAACTTGGCCCCAGGTTCTGGCCATAGGGCTGGACCCCCCACCCAACTGGGAAGGTACCCCTTCTCCAAGAACTGGGCAGACACTGCAGTCTCCACACCCTGCCCCAACACCCATCTATCGGAGACACCAGCCACTTCCTGGGACTTAGAGACCAGCCCCCAGCTTCCATCCTGCCCCAGATCTCCCAGCTGGACAAGAGGTGAGTACATACAACAAAATGAAGAACAACACAGCATCAGCAAAAACTAGCCCTCCTCCAACAGCTACACCTGAACATCACAAAATGGAAGAAGCAGAAAAAAGCAACCTTATAAATAACATCATGAAGAGGCTAGAGCCTTATATAGAATAAATAAAAAATGAAATTGAGAAAAAGACAAACAAAAAATGGGAAGAACACTATAGAAACTAGAGGAAAGGACAAATAAAGCAAAAGAAAACAATAATTCTCTGAAAGAAAATCATGAACAAGCAATGAAACAGATGAAGGAAACAGTCCAAGACCTGAAACAAATGAAGAAGACACAAACAGAGGGAATGCTGGAAATAGAAAATCTGAGTAAATGAACAGGAACTACAGATGCAAGTATAACCAAGAGAATGGAAGAAAGGATCTCTGGCGTTGAAGATATGGTAGAGGAAATAGATTCATCAGTCAAAGAAAACAATAAAACCAAAAAAATCATGACCCAAAATGTCCAAGAAATTTGGGACACCATGAAAAGACCAAACCTAAGAAAAATATGGATAGAGGAAGGAGAAGAATACCAAATCAAAGGCACAGAAAATATATTCAACAAGATCATAGAAGAAAACCTTCCCAACTTAAAGAAGGAAATGCCTATGAAGATACAAGAAGCCTATAGAACACCAAACAGACTAGACCCCCCAAAAAAGTCCCCTTGCCACATAATAATTAAACAACTAAACCTACAGAATAAAGAAAGGATACTAAGAGCAGCAAAGGCCAAAAGCCAAGTGACGTATAAAGGCAAACCCATCAGAATAACACTTGATTTCTCAATGGAGACTTTGAAAACCAAAAGGACCTGGACAGATGTAATGCAGACACTAGGACCTTGGATGCCAACCTAGACTAATATACCCAGCAAAACTCAGTCATCATAGACAGAGTGAACAAGACATTCCAAGACAAACCAGATTTAAACAATACTTATCCATAAACCCAGCCCTAAAGAAAGGACTAGAAGGAAAATTCCAACCTAAGGAAGTCAGATACACCCTGGAAAACATAGTCAATAGATAATGCCACAGCAGTAAACCCCAAGGAAGAGAAGTACACTCACACTACCACCAAAATATAACATGAATGAACAATCACTGGTCATTAATATCCCTTAATATCAATGGACTTAATTCACCTATAAAAAGACACAGGCTTCGGGCTGGAGAGATGGCTCAGCCGTTAGAAGCTAGGCTCACAAACAAAAAGACACAGACTTACAGAATGGATACAAAAGCAGGACCCATCTTTCTCCTGCATTCAAGAAACATAACTCAAATTCAAAGATAGATACTACCTAAGAATAAAAGGCTGGGAAAAGACTTTCCAATCAAATGGTCTTAAGAAGCAAGCTGGTGTAGCCATCCTAATATCCAGCAAAATAGACTTCAAACTAAAATCAATCAAAAGAGATCAAGAAGGGCATTTTGCTGACATACTCATCACAGGAAAGATCCACCAAGATGAAGTTTCAATTCTGAACATTTATGCCCCAAACACAAGGGCACCCACATATGTAAAAGAAACATTACTAAAGCTTAAACCACATATAAAACCCCACACATTAAAAGTGGGAGATCTCAACACCCCACTTTCACCACTGGACAGATCTCCCAAATCGAAACAGAGAAATAAAGGACTTAACTGGTGTCATTACCCAAATGGACCTAATTGATATCTACAGAATATTCCATCCTAACAAAAAAGAATATACCTTCTCAGCACCCCATGGAACTTTCTAAAATCAACCACATACTTGGCCACAAAGCAAATCTCAACAGATACAAAACAATTGGAATAACCTCCTGTGTTCTAT